CTGCTTAATGACCGCTCAGATTTCGCTCTTAGCCAATCAGAGCGCGCGTTATATCGGCCACAAGCCAAAGTCATATAATAACAATTGATAATAATCGATATCAATCGATAATCTATCGTTATCGATTACTATCGGCAATCGATAACTCACAAATTTTCTCTTAATCGATTTTCATCGATTTTTATCGGCAATCGATATCAATCTTCGATCGATTGTTATCGATTAAATCGATTATCGGTTTATCGATTGACTACGCCTGGGAATACGTAAACTCAGCGTGAACTCAAAGCGTAGACAAAAAGCTTAAATTTTGACCTGAAGGCAATTTTGAAGCTCGCATTCGCTTTGAATTCAGGAAAATCTTCTCGCTTTCCCAAAGTGAAATTCTCTTTGTTTTGCAAAGTTTCACAATTCAGGCTCTACCCGTACCACTCGATACTACGGTCAAATACGATACTACTGTCAATATTATCCGACACTTACGGATTGCCTTCTGTTGATCTTTAACTTCGCCTCGGAACTATTCAATATCAGCTTCCATCAATTTCACGCTGTCTCACTCAGATTGAGCACCGTGTTTGGCTTATATTGAGCTCATGCTTTGTTCTGTTAGTTATTCCTGATTTACTGTCAATGAACTCTGACCGAAAAGCAGACAATAAAAATTTCAGTTTTAATGCAACAAGCGTACTTACGTAATATTTAACACGATATATGGGCCGGGGGGGAAAGGATTTGGAAGTCGTTCCCATAATACATTGCGATTGGACTATATTATCAACTGCCCGTTGTCACGTGACCTTTTAGTTGTGAGTGGCGTTCATGGCGTCCGCCTTGAAGAGTAGACTATTTCTTGACTGTTTGCGAAATGCGCTCTTGGGCCTGTGTCGTACTTTTAAATGCAGGAGATCTCTTTCAAAATCCGTAAGTTGATTAGTGCTAGACTACCCGCCGTAATCTAGAAAATATTAATTTATTTGTTTCTTCAAGACGGTAAGTTAAATGGGTATCACCATTTGGATATTTTTCCCTACCTTGGGTTTAGCTGGGTCATGTCTGACGGTAAACCTAGTTTCTTCATGTTTACTGTCTTACCGTTCGGTTTATCTTCAGCGCCCTACATCTTCACCAGGCTACTCAGACCTTTAGTTAAACACTGGCGATCTCAGGATATACACAGTGTTGATTACCTTGACGACCAAGTTATCTAGTGAGATTTACGTTAGCATCATCAAATCAGACCTGGCTTTGGCGGGCTTCCTAGCTAACGAAGATAAGTCTGTTTGGGTTCCCGTGCAGTTAATCACTTAGCTTGGTATCGTTTGGAACTGGCTTCAAGGAAAAATTAGCATTACTGAACCCAGAATATAGAGAAGGCTTTGCTTCACATTGACAACACCCTTCTAGCTCCTAGACTTTCTGTTAGAGGCCTGGCTTCCATTGTGGGTAAGATTATCTCTATGAGTCCTGGTCTAGGAAATCTCAGCCGGATTATGACCAGGCATTGCCAGATGTCCGTAGCGGCTGCCCAAGACTGGGACAGTGTGTTTGCTCTTGATAGATATTGCATGTTAGAGCTTCAGTTTTGTAAGAGTAATCCCCGTTCTGTTGACCCCAAAACTGTATCAGATTTGGCACTCCCTTTCATATTCATTAACTCGGATGTGAGTAATGTAGCTTGCGTAGGCCATATTGCTGGGAAAGATGTGCACGCCCACAGGATATTTACAGAAGCAGAACGCCAGGAGAGCTCCACTTACCGCGAGCTGGTAGGTGTTCAGTTTGTTCTTAGTTCGTTCAGTTCGTTCAGTTCGTTCCTTCCCAACTCCAGGGTTAAATGGTTTACCGATAGCCAAGGGGCGGCTAGGATCGTGCAAGTTGGCAGCATGGATTTCAATCTGCACAAGTTAGCCTCCGATATTTTTTCGTTTTGTTTCAAGTTTAGAATTTATTTAGACATTGAGTGGGTTCCACGATCACTTGATGAAAAAGCAGATTACCTCAGCAAGATTGTGAATTATGACGTCTGGGAGCTTGCCCCCGGGGTTTTTCGGCAACTGGACGACCATTGGAGGCCATTTACGGTTGACTGCTTTGCACCCACGACAACAAGGTCCCAAAATATTTTTCTAGATTCTGGAATCCCGGGATGGCCGGAGTTGACGCGTTTTTCCAAGACCGGCGACACGAAGATTGCTTGGTTGTGCCACCGGTCGTACTCTTGTCGAAAGTCCTTATTTTCATGTTTCGATACAATGGCAAGGGGACATTAGTGGTACCTTACTGGCCGTCTGCGCCTTTCTGGCCTTTGTTGGTTCATAAGTTTTGGGACTTCGTTGTCGATTGTTCATTTTTTGAGGGACGGTTAGCGTTGCGCCAAGATCGTAATACGAACTCGCTTTTAGGTTCAGCCTCCTAGGACGGTTTAATCCTCGCTGTGAAACCTCTATTTTCTCGGAGCGCTGATAGTAGCCTTCCAAACTGACCTTGCCGAGGGTGACTTATGGCGAGGGCTACTCTGTACCCAGTATTACAGAATTCGGATCCCTTGACCAGTGCTTCTTGAGCCGTTGACAGAATACACAAATTTGTTGCCGGTGGGCAGATCACTCATACTGGAGGCCGGTTGGCAGTTTACACTTTTCTGTAGCCGGTTGGCAGTTTTGTTCGAGCCGGATGGCAGCGAACTTGAGCCGGGTAGCAATGAGTATGTTGCTGGGTTAGGGATTCGTTTACTGCCCCCTTCCCCAACTCGCATTATTTCTTAGTACTTTTGTTTTCCTCAGGATTTGATAGAAGCCTCCTCTTGGGGACCGACGTGCAGAGACAGAAGACGTACAATGGTGAAGCAAGTTTCAGCTTCTAAAGCCAATTCTTCTGTTAAAAAAATGTTACCCAGTATAGGCATTTTTCCGTGTACCCAGGGGCGGGGCAGAAGACTCCTGAAATTTTTGTACTGGCTCATCCAACAAAAAGTGACGTCACATCCGGTTTAAACGGTGCCGCGCAGCCCGTTTCACAAAGCGAAAAAATGGCGTTTCGATTGGGGAAGATTTTCTTCTATTTGCAAACCATCAGGTCCGTGTCCTTCCATACTGAGGATAGAAATAT